AATATGATAGTTGCGGAGAGAGGAAGTCTCCCATTACGTGTACACGACTGTTAATGGTCGGCAGTCAGCGTTTTCCTCTCTTATTCAGTTACAGCTTCAAATTCATTGAATAATTTTGAATTTTGCACCATTTGCGATCATTTGACACTCCGCATTTCCCGTCTCATTTAAAACTCCTCCTGAACCCAACTAGTATAACCTAAAATTTCCGAAAGTCATTTCCCGTGTGTCTGTTAATATTCGAAAAGCTTACTTTCGAGTTATTAATTTAATAAATATTCTACGAAGTTTTTGAATACTAATATTTGTTTAACTTTTCACATGCCATCTATTTGAGGAAATGCGCTTTTATAAATAATTATATTTTCTAAGAACAGGAAATGACGGATTACAAAATAGCTTATGATACAATATCCAATAAATGTATTTAAAAAATTGGGCTACATGTTACTATTTTACATTACATTTAGTAGCAAACATGAATTGTAAACATTATTAGTCTTTGATAAATTTTCAATAATTACTCTTTTTTATGGGACTTTTACAGAGCACGTTTTCTGTTTAAATTTAACAGAAAGTTTGATATATTTCTTAAGAGAACATTTCTAAAAGTGATCAAAGGAAAAAATATTTCTGATTTTCTTATTTTCTTTTCCTTTCTCTGGTTTTTTCTTCCTTGTACGAAGTAAAGGAGGTATTGTAATAGCGAAAATTTTCGGGTATCATATTTTAACGAATATATCCATTTTTAATACAATTTAATGATGTTTTTGCATGACACCTGTACGTAAGGGCAGGATAAAGCCCTCTTTTTCCAAAATGGGTTGCAAAAAGGATTTAAAATGGACTCAGAAGAGATTTTTTGGTGCTTCACGGAAAAAAATTAAACACACATACAACACACATACATATATAACATATGAATCTCGCATAACTCAAAAACGAGTAGCCTCTGAACGTTGAAATTTTATATATAGGACTGCTATAACATGCAGCTTGCACCTCCTTTTTCGGTTGCAATCAGACGCACCAAAAGTATATAAATATATATATATATATATAGTATATATGCGTGTGTACCCAATGTGTTACTCGGCTCCGTGAACTTATTTTTTTTATTCTTATGTGTTAGCAAATTATGCATTTTTTGCTTTACAAATGATTGAATTATGTTGTTCATATTTTCCGGTTAAGGTTTTTTATGCCTTTAATTAATCTGCATGCAATAGTTGTAGAATTATAGAGAATTTAAAAGTTCTTTAAGTGCGGCTAAGCCTATTTTTTAACGATAGCAGCCATATTTGTTTACATTTGAAACTTAGCAGAATAGTGAACTAAGTATGTTTCTGCAACTTCTTGACCGCTGGCAAATTGCTTCTTTTGCGAAGGAACTTTAATTTTATTCATAAAAATTGTTTTATTTGTTTTAAATGTATTTCGTGTTTTATATTTATCTATATTTTTCAATTTTTGATTAAGATATTTTTAGATTTATATATTTTTGCCTTGCCGGAATTACATGAAGGAGAACTATATCTGTAGTGAAATTCGAGGATATAAGTTTAAATAAAAGTCAGGAAAAATGCGTATAAGTTTAATATCTGTACAATGAATTCATGTAGTGGTCAGATTTTGTTTCTGCTTATATCATAATTTGCCTAATAATAGATTTTTAATACAGAAAAATTTTTCACTTCAAGTAGCTGAAGTAAATCTGTTATTCCACTTTATCTAAATTTATTAGTGCCTATATCTCCATGCAATACGTCTGTGCAATTATTTTTTTAAAAATTTTTATCACGCGTTTCATTAATGATTTTTTCTTCATTCAGATAAACAATGTTTAGAATACATACATGTCTTTTTGTATTTTTTAAAACTTAGAGGAACACAAGATTTTAAAATATAGGAGTTCTAAGGGTTCTAAGAACTGAAGCTTCATTTAGTTCCATTCGTTGTTGGTTTGATAAAAGGCATACGTTTATTATACAAGTATCCTCTTTATTAATGTATATCTACTGGAAATTATCTATTTATTAAAGATTTTGTTAAATATGCTCTGTCGTCAGAAATGATTCTGGGAGGAAAAAAAGGTGGAAATAACTTCAGGTGTCCCTATCTAATATAAACAACTAGATCACATGGCACGAGCTGTAAGTTACCATTTCTGTAATAGCAGAATATGCAGTGTGTTTGTTATATTTTTTTAGATCTCTGTGCAAGTGCAATATTTAAATAAAACTTTCGGAAGAGGTCAAAAACTGGAACTAAAGAATTTTTAATGATGCATTTATAAAGCTTGAAATGTATGATCTTTTCATTTTTCGGCATCTCGACATGCAGTGTTAGTGGAAAAAAATCTAAAAAGGGCTCAGATTTTAAAGGGTCGCCTAAAAGGGTCTGTTGAGGTTTTTCTACATTCTCGCTGAGATTGCAGTCTATCAGTCTGCGGTTGCACTCACCCCTGCTAACCTATTTCTTTTTGTCTTCAAAGATGAGCGTAATTTTCTTCTAACATAATTCTCTAACTACAACAGCATAGCTGAATACATTTAGGAATCACGATGCCAGAGTTAAGTTCCTCCCCCAGTCTTTTTACCACTTCATCATATCAATATTCAGTACTTTTACTAAGATGGCTGTAAAAAACATTTTTTTCCCTTTTTCTTACTAACGTTTTGTGTGTGAATTTTATTAATCAAATATTATGTTCTTCGTACTTAGACTGCATAAAATTCAGTTCAATAGCAAAATCACAAAATATTTTTAAAAAAAGTGTATCTTTAGAATTTCCGATAGAGAGTCTCGCGCGCTGGATATAACAATGTTTAAATCCACACAGTGTTGCGATTGCTCGCCTTAAGTTTCTTAAAAATGAATTAAAGTTTTTAGAACTATGAAATATAAAATTCAAAATTTAAAATTCGGGTTTCCAGGTCCACATGTTCGGGGGAAGGAATACGTTATTCAAAGTTTGATGGCCCTAGGTACCGTCGTTTTTTCACAGTGCGAGAAACATACATACAAACATACATACATTCTTCATTATTTAATTTCTTTAAATTATTTCGTGGCAAAAATCTGAAACGTGATTCAAAAATTTAAAGAGATAAGCCGCAAAATTCTGTTTCCAGACTAATAACCCATTCGGCTAATAATAAGTAAAATAATAATGATCACTCCTCTTAAACTTATTCAGCTCATTACACATTAAATTGCAGCAACTGAAAATACGCAAGCAACTTTTGCAACATAGGTTTTTACCTAATCCAGAAAATAATTTATGCTTTCCATCTTTTTCTATCTACTGCTTGTATCCTGAAAAGAATTAATGAATTGCTTGACATATCCTATGTATATCTTAAATTTCATTAAAATTAAATTCGCTGGTATTAGAATTTTAAAAACAGCAGCAATAAAATTATCGATGGCTTCCACGCGGAGAAGAATAAAAACTACTTTAATCTCCCAGATGAAGACGCTAAGGCAATTTAATAAGATTTTGTAAACTGGGATTGTTATCTTAAGCTTCGTCAAACGAAACTGTTTCTAGGTTTTTTTCTTCCAGTAATATTTTGTCAAGAACTTTAAAATAGGAAGCACGGAGGCCTCTAAAATCTCTTTAAACTTCGAAGTTACAGTCGAATTAATAATTTTTTAAAAGCACACTTTAAAACTTCATCGTTTTAATTAGTTTCTGAAACATCTATTTAAGAAAGCAGATGCTCACGAAAATTAAAAGGTAGCTTTCTTGAAAATTATACAAGGAAGGGAAGTAAAGTGTACGTTTTACAAAGCTAGAGTAAAAACATTCAGTATTCGATATTTCATCATTCATTCCAAGGCTATAAGCAATAAATAATTTTCTTCTTGATCTCTAATTTGGTAACATTTTTTACTCTCTCAATTCTCTTTATTGCCAGTCGTAAAAATGAAAACTCAGTTCAGAATATCACTTAATTCAGCATTACGTAATAAAATTTGTACTATGGGAAAATTGTAAATGTTTTTTTTTTTTTTTTTTTTTTTTTTTTTTTTTTTTAATTCTACATGTTAAGATAATATTCATGCTAAATTTTACTCTAGCATAATGACTAAATTTTTACCTACAAGATTAAATTTAAAATTTTTAAATACTTAATTCATTTATAAAAATCTGTTCCTTTATTTTAAGAAATAAAAATATTTCGTCGAAATATGAATATAAAGTAAGTGCGTAATTGTGGTTCATACGAAAATTTCTCCCACCAAAAATAACTAATTCTAGTAATTTTTCTTATTGGAACTCAGTGTCTATTTTTATTCATTACCGCTTTATTAATACGTAGCTCTTTCATTCGTTATGTAAAAAGACTTCTTTAAGTATTAAGAAATAATTTTCAGAAAATTAATCCAGACAAAATGTGTATTTTCTATACGAAAGTTTTCTTTTCCACCCAAGAACAAATTGTTGCGGCACAATTATGGATAGCTTTCCGATTATGTTTTGAATGAAAATTGTTAAAGAAGATTAAACAGTTTTGCGTATTATTGTAAATATTAAATTTCATGAAAATAATAAATGCAATCAGTCTTTTGTCATACTACCTCTATTGCTTTCCCATAGTCTTATACCCAATGATGTTCCACATTTTGCCCATATTGTTCATAGAACTAGTTGCTTTAAAGAATTCAGTTATGCATGATTAAACATACGAAACTCGTATTATAAAATAATTAGACAATAGTTGTTTGTAATTAATTCAAAAATAGCTGTTTGCTTCTAAATAATAAGGAGACTGCATGCAAAAGAATTAAGAACCAGAAGTATTCGAACATTTTAAGTCAGTGAGCTATACGGATTTAGAATTACTTTCAAACATTCTCGAAACAACTTACATATTTGTAAATATATATTTTTAGGCTCCCATATTCTGTGAGTTCTGTGAAACGATGTGTTTACACTTTATGACAGAAGAAATTCATTTCAAACTAGACACAGAATTATTCATTCGACTTACTTTTCTTCGATAATTAAATACGTATGTGTTGCATCAACGGAGTCAAAATGCCCAATATGGCCTTCTCCAGTCTGTGCAGCATTTGCTGTTCTATCTTCATCTTTCAGCGATTTCGAATTTAAATTGTCAATTCCTTCTAGCAATTCTGGTTGGTTCTGCGTCAAGCGCTGTAGGGGAAGCTTCTGTGAGTCTTGACTTCTTTCTTTTGTTTCTGAAAGGTAAGAAAAAGTCAAATGGACTCTTACATAATTATTATGCAAGATATTTTGAATGCATGCATTTTGAAATATAAGTTAAAAAAGAAAGCATTTACACCTCGGTTGTCCCGAGTTTAGCGAAAATATGTTCATTCACAAAATAATCGGAAAGAAATTGCGGAAACTTTGTAGTTTTAATATATCGTGATACAACTAGAATTTAAAGAATATTACTAATATTGATCTGATCTTTGACATATCATAAAGAAAATTTCCGGAATAAAACAAATCAGCACTTTTCTTCTTTGAAATATACATTGATTCCATATATATTGCGAAAATAAATTTATTTTAAAAATAACTTTGTTTAAATTTGTTTGTATAAATAATTTATTCTTTGAACTTACTAAAAATTATGAAGTGTTATATTCTTATGTTCTATCATTACAACAAAATGAGTTTCATTCCAGAAAATACATGATTTTATCTCAAGTTGTAAGATCTAGTCTCCTTTGCTAGCATAAACTGCAACTAGACCTATTTGAAAGTCTGTTTAACGACTTCTCGTTAAGACTAGGAGATGAATACTACAAGGTAAGGGTCTAAAAGACCCTTTTATTACATTCTAATTATTTACAAACGGCACGGTCTCACGTGCTTACAATTGCACAATCCACTTGTGGTGAGGAATTGAAAGATCATGGTAACAAATTAAATTTAAAGGTAAGCTAGTAAGTAGTTCAACACTAAGCAAATTAATTTACCCTAGCAGGTTAACTCAGAAACATACAGCGGCGTGGTATTAAACTTCGGAGGCAAAAATGTAAAGCAGAGACTCAGAATTCAAACTGCTAGTAGAAATAACAACGCTGGTACTCAAATAACGAAAACACGCTCTGACTAACCTATTCGCTACTTACACACTCGTTCACCTTAACTCATTTATATCCTGGCGAGGAAATACGAGGGAAACAAGGAGTGACAGGAAAAGCTAACAAATTAAAATCCCCATTAGTAAAAATAATATACACCTTATACGGTGAAAAGTGTTTAGAAATGTCTCAATGAAAATGAGCTCAGTGGATTTCACTTAAGCGATGAACTGGCTCTCAAACAATGAATTTATTCTAAGTACATATTAAATTATGCTTTACAGTACTAAGCAGCTGTCGAACCCCTCTACTTTCGGATGAGTTTTACCTTCACATCCCGCAAACATAGAAGACCTTAAAATCAATTCATCTGTGAGTGCAAATCCCAAACTTCAGAGAAATGATCAGGCAAATTAAATAAAAATTCTGAAAAAAAAAGATAAAATTTGAATTCCTTGCGTTACAAAGACCGTGTTAATTGATTGCTTAAGGGCGTGACAGATCGTTTACTATGCACGAGCGCAGTAGATGGTAGAAGCAACTCTTTTTCGCTTTCTTTATTTTTACTATTATTTATGCTCAGAAAATTAAATTATTTATAATTGTATACTCGTTCATAATTGTATACATATTATACATATATAATTTTATACATAATTGTATACATTATTTATAATTGTATACATATCGTTCCCTCATTTAGTGTGTTTTTCAGGTGAATTTATTTAGGACTGCGAGAAGAAACGCAGTTTTTTCCTTTTATTATTACTATTTATTATTTTATTTTATAAAAGAAATTATTCACGCAGTTTTTGAAAGAACAAGGAAAATAATATGCCAAAAAATTTTAAAAGACATTTTTATTTTTTCTTCTCTTCGTTTTGCAAATAAATTCGTAAACATAATTATATTACTATAAGTTCAAAACATTAAACTGTTTACAATCGTGGCATTAAATGAATTTAAAATTTTAAATTAATTTAAAATTCTGACGAATTTGTTCTTTAAATTATCAAAGGAAACACCATATTCCATTAATGTAGTTAAATAACTCTATGCAACTCACTATGCCTGCTATATATTATATTAGAATTACCGGAAGCTCAAAACTTTTGAGAAGCGGCAATTCAACCTTCAACCCTGCTAACCATTCATGCATCGCTTTGCCTTTAAGAACAATAATTACGTAATAATAACAGTTATATTTGAGGATTAATTAGAAAACGGTCGATCAAACACCGATATTTTAAGCAAATGATGAAATATGTTGCTGCCAATGAAAAATATTTTAGTATTTGCTCGATAAACAAGAACCACGAATGATGTAACAAAGAACCTGACACTGGTGTCCTATTCTAATGAACAAGTTCCAATTTTGAATAATAAAACGACTGCAAATGCATAAATTTGTTTCTGATAAAAAAATCATGATTTTGCTACAGGAATATGTAGCATGAAGGGAGGAAAGGAATATACAGAATACTTTCTTAAAATTTTTATCTCCCATCATTTCAAACTTTAAAAATATTTTGTGATAGTTTGAGGAGCCTAAACTCAAGCTACTCACGCTAGGAAGAGGACCCTCTCGCCTGAGTATGTTTCCTTAATTTGAGCAACCTAAAATTAACTTGCTTTCACGGCAGGAAGAAGGCCCTCTGGTCCAGGAGTTTCAAGAAATAAACTCTTAAATATCGCATTTCATAGTTTAACGAATTCGTATATAAGTATTTACCCGTTTGAAAAAAAAAAAAAAGGATTTTTTAAAGCCTTTCTTTAATTATTTAAATGCTGTTTTAAGGTACCATTTAGCTACAGAATTAGAAATAGAGTGAATGTATTTCAATTCGTGCGAATAGAGTTGTGACCGCTCTGTGAAAACTATTTTTCAGCTGCCACAAAGTCCTTTGCTCATCAATGGAAAAGTCAATCATTTTAAAACAATATATCAGTTACTGAAAATAAGGAGTAGTTTATATGGAATTGAAGCGGGCCAATATGAAATTTCAAGCGATACAATATTCAATTTTGAACTAGCCTTTTCGAAAAATTTAAGACAAAAAGTAAATGTAGAGATTCACGTTAGTTTTACATAAAATCTCTATGCAGTTTGAAGGATACATTTCGGTTTCTATCGAAGTTCATACCCTAAAAACACTTTCAACTTAAATTATAATATTTAAAAATTTTCTAAGGATATTAATTATTACCTCCGCATATCAGAATTTTACATCTAAGGCAGTTTCATTTCTTTTTTAATAACTTTTCCACCACAAAAGCGTTTATTGAAAATGCTTATAGCATTTTAAATAAACTATGTATGATGTCACTATCTACTGAAAAATAGTCATCTGCAGCTTCATTCGAGTTAAATTCATACAATTGATATAATTAGCACAAATCATTAATACTGCCAATTAATAATGGTAATTAATAATGCCAGCGCTTAAAGGTATCTAACTAAAACTAATTATGGAATTCCTCCAGTTTTCACTTTTTCGATCTTTTTTGTTAATAAACAGATAATTTGTATATTCAGCACATAATCCCTTGTCTACATCGTATTTAACGATTCTTGTACAGAAAGGTTAACCTTTAATCATTTCTCAATATTTTTGCACAATACAGCATCCTAAAAACGTAGTACGTAAGTATAAATAAAAGCACAGCACAATTTTTGCATTCTACTTTTGCGTGAATTTATAAGTGCTATTACTTGTGCACTTATAAATTCACGCAAAAATAGAATGAAAATATATATCCTTCCAAGTTGCAAAAGCAAGATTCCTATTTTACTGATATATTTTTTCTCCGAAAATGCTCTTTTTCCTTTTATGAAATAGGTAAATTAAACAGAAAAAAGTCAGTATTTCTTTGGATGCAAGGGGATTTCCATATATTGATAGATTTTTATATTTACAAAGAAAAATGGTTTATAATACATAGTAGTTTTAACCGTATGAATTAATTTTGCAGTTACTAAATAATTAACTCATTCTGATATCGAAAATATAAGATCATATTTATATCTATTCTATTTCTAATCTATTTCTATCTCTATTTCGTTGACAATGCAAATTTTCAAAATAAGAGAACTTATATTTATATGCTTAACAAACTGCTAAATGTATAAATTTTCTATATGAACCTCAGTTTTTACAACCTCAGTCTCAGTTAAAATCCACAATATTAGCTTAACATTTGCAGGACATACGTTTTGTACATATGAACTCGATTGCTTGTTGAAAGTGAAAGAGAGATATGATGACGTATGTTAAAAAAGAACTCGTTCGCCGTCATTTCACATTTATTGTAATTCATGTGTATTCAAACATACGAGAATTTAAAAGGTAGCTTTGAATTCATTTTTAATGAAATACAACTATAATGTCTTGTATTGTAATTAAGTTTTCTGCAAATATCTTAAATGTGAAATACCATAGTAGAGTAAACATATCTCATTCTTAGTGTTAAATCTAAAATCTTACACACCAAACTCCATTTTTTGTTTTCTATGTGTACATTTTATTTATTTGTGCACTTATTTCTGTATTCATATTTATTATGCGTCGAGAATGAATTATTTAAAGTTATTTTGCAGTTTAAAAGCTTTAAGGACATTTTAGATTATTAATTTTCACTGAAGCAGAAAAAAATGTAAATCGATTTTTGCGTTCTGCACGATCGAAAGTAAGATAAAGACTGAAGGAAACTAACTTACCTTCCTTATTATTACTTTGTGGGAAATTCCCTGCTATTACAAATCTTTCAGCTCCTACTGAAAATGCAAAGGAAACCAAATTTCAGTTTTCTGAGTTATAAAAATGGCATAAAATTAAAGTTGTCGGGAAAGAAATAAGAGTTTTAATAAATTAATTCTTTACCAGTTAATAAGTAACATTAAATGCCAAAGTATAATGAAATGTTTCGAAACTTTTTCTTTGGAAAGCGATTGGGTCCCCTAATCTCCAGTCGTTCTTTTAAAAGGGGAGTATACTTCGTGGTGTAACTGGAAGCGTATTCGAGAGGTCCAGGGTTCGAGTCTCGGTGAGAAACATTACACATTTTCCACGTGTCCTGCCTCAAAAAAACCTAATGTCTTTACAAGCTTTGCCTCAGGTCTCTTGCGAAACAGTTACAGCTAGCGAAGGTACAATCCATTTGGCATTTCTGTCTTAGGTAGAACTAATAATGACCGGTCAGCGATAGCTAACAACTCTATCTCGAACTGCATTTAAATAAATTAACTAATTTGTCTTTTGACAGAATCTGACGAAACCTGAAGTGAAAGTAAAGGTAAAACATCAAACATCTGCTTAGTCAGTGATGATGTGGTCCTGCGAGGGATTTAGCATAAATTTGTCTTATACCTTTACAAAGATATAACTCAGAAATTTTGTGAAAGTTCAAGGAAATTATATTACAGTTCAAAATATGTGTCCAAAAATTTGTTGTTGCCTCTGCTTTACATCACGACAGGAATCGCTTATCAGAGCTTATGTAACATATGAAAAATTTAAAAGGATGACACATTAGAAAATTAAGAAATTAAAAATGAAATTCTGAAACACAGAGAAAAAGTAGAAATAGAAAAAATAAAAGATTTATTTTCCCCAAAACATAGTAAATAAAATACAAATGCATAAGATTCGCTATTGCTTAATGGTTTTAGTGTTTTAAATATTCATAGGACGGATTTATTATATACGGAAATTGATATATAAAGGATTAGTAAAATGAATACCAAATATTAAAACTAATGTGCCACATTAAAAAAAGCGTGTCTTTGGTTTAAATTTCTGAAATCAGTAGTTAAAGCAATGAGCACACATGCAAGATGATTGAAAACCATTAATTGATTTAACGAGAATAATGCAGTAAATAAAGCTTTTCTGACTTTTTAACAGTTGAAGACTGAATTTATTGAATGAAAACGTGATTTATTTACGTATGCTTATTACATTATTATCGATATGCAGATGCAGAATATGTTAGAACTGGTACGAAGTTCTCTTGGTATCTTTCTTTTATTACTTTTTAGCATATCATAAAAGTTCTTATTCACAAAAGATTTGTTCAAATAAAGAGCTGCCTGCTTGTAAAATGTTTTAAAGCGGTTTGTTTTATCTTTCTGAGAAAATAGTTTTTCAGTATTTTTAATATTTCTACTTTGTTTGGAATGATGGTATGCAAAAATTTATTCACACATGTTTTGATCGCACAGTATAATCATACTGAACTACAGTTTTTGGTAAATATGTAGAAGCTGCATAAGGCAGACATTTCTAAGTATTTTCTTCAAGTTTTGTAGCTCTACACAAATGCCCGTCCACGTGAACAAATATGAGAAGAAACTTTCATACTGAAGGTGCTTAAACTGATATGGAATGTAGCTTTCTCTTATTGCTGTCCTCTCCGTCTCCTTCTAATCTTAGTAGCTCCTTATTTGTCCAGATATGAAAACGTACATAGTCGTTGCCAAAATGTCATCCTCGCTCTTTCCTGGTCTTCACAAGTACTTGTATTGCATCCATATTTCCACATGCCTACTTACTTCTCTACAAAGGAATATACAGCACATTCTTCGGTTCATTTTGTGCATCCTGGGATTTATTGCAAAATGTTTCGCCGCATTCCGCAGTCAGTCCGATCTTTAGCTATATATATATTGATATATTTAGCGAAGGGAACGCACTGCTTTTTTTGTGGGCGAGTCCAGGCTTAATACTCTTCCAATATGTGCAGTATGGAGAAAAATGACTGGTATTTTTTCATATTCATTGTCACTGGAAATCTTATGCAGAAGGTGTCACACCACAAATCTTTGAAGCGATATGCTATCTGTCTTTCGTTGATAAGAGAGATTGTTTAAAATATTTTTATTAAAATGTATGTATTTTTGCAAGTTATTTCTAAGCTTTGTTTTATATTTATTTTCTAATAATTTCCTGACTAAATACAATACCTATTATCAAAAGGAAATCTGATAAATTCGTTCTCCGTCCTTCTAGCTCCTAACATATAATAGTCGCCTATTTCAAGATGTGACATGTTGCATAGCTATTGAAAAGTGCTTATTGCATTCATGATATTGTCCCAGAGCAGAAGATGTGTATTTTTAAGAAATCATTCTTCAGAAAATAAATTTGTGCCATAGAAATTTTTTTTGTAATTGTTCAAAAGTGCAGTCATCTACAAGGCAGCATAATTGTAACGACTAATCATCCATTAACACTGGTTAACTGCAAAATAGCTTATATCTCCTTCTCCAAAGAAAATTTTTCCTCATTTCCACAGCCTAAATCATTACATATATACATATATTTAATTTATATACGTTTGATGTGGCGGATCACAACGAAACTAGGTGTTATAGCAGCTTTATATGCAAAATTTCAACATTCTACGGCTACATGTTTTTGAGCTATGCGAGATACACGCATACGTACGTACAGACATCACGAAAAAAATCTCTTGTAAACCCATTTTACAGTCCGTTTTGGGAAAAGATAGTCCTTTATTCTGTCCGAACATACAGATGTCATGCAAACACATTGTTCAAATGGATTAAAAAGCGGTCAAAATGAATATTTTCGTTGATATATGATACCCGAATTTTTTTGAGATTACAATACTTCCTTTTACTTTGTACAAGAAAGCAAAAATAGCAACACCGTTCTGAAGATAAATAAAAGTAGATTTTTCTTAATGTTATAAAATATATACGAAAGGAAAAAAATCTAAATTACTAAAATGCTAATTAACTACATGGCAGTTAACTATTGAACGTTTTATGGATTTTATTCTTTTACTTTGTAATCAAACAGCTCTAGAAAAATTACTTATATATATATATATATAATTAGCTGAGGTACGTGCTTCGCTCAGGGAGTTGATATGAGATTGTGAGGTACACGGTTGTAATAAAAGGATAAACTTTAAAATATAAGAGATAAAATTTTTTATTGAAAATGTTTTCTAACTATTTACAATAATTATTTATAAACAACATTTTTTATTTTGCTGTACAGGGTATATATGTACAAATGTTCCGAATTTACTATTCAAAAGCAAGCTACGTATATCTGACCGGGAGAAAAGTAGGAGTCTTTGAGGTTGATAATGCGATGTTTTAATGTTTGTCTTTCGCTTTGTTAATTGTAAAACTATAGGCTACTTTAATTGGAAATTGCAATCTTTTAAATTGGAAGGGCAGTTCAGTATATATCAGTGGTATTCTGGGGATAAATACTACGTGTCCTTTGCCCTTTCTACTAATAAGTTGGGTTTCGATGATGTTATTCGATAGTTGTTTGATGACCATCCTTGTTCCATAGTTTTGGTGAGCTGAGATTTCTGAGTAAAATAATCGGAGATCCAATTTTAAGTCGAAGGCACTGTAATGGCATTCCTAGTACTTAAAAAGAGTTTAAAAAATTCTGTGGGAAAGTTCGCTTCTTCAACGTTCACCATCGTGTCTATCGATTTGTATATTCTCTCTTCACCGGCAGCCCCAACCATATAAAAAAAGACTTCGAATGGTCCACAATGTTCCAGAACATTCTATAACATTCGAGATTGTTCTGGAATGTTCCCGAATATTCCAGAATGTTCCGGGATATTCTGAAATGTTGTGTAATGCTCTCGAATGCTCTGGACTGCTTCAGAAATTTCTAGAGGGCGAAACTTCCAGCTCTTATATCTTCAAAAGCATACCCTTCAGGTAAAAACGGGAACCTTCTTTATAGATGGGGCATAGAGGGCTACCACACCATATTACTCCCTTGATCGTACCGGGAATCGTTTCTGAATTTTAGCGGCACGCACACTGTACACTTACTTTTATAATACACATCGATTACATAAAACGAGAGTAATAAATAAACATATGGCTTTCCAGATTAACTACGCTAATGAAACTTTTATTGATTCATTATAACAAAACCATATTTTGCACATTTTCTATCCATATTCATTACTGGCAGTGGCCGGCTACTTTAAGCTTACAAGTGATTTGAAAAATTGTGTACTGAAAGATGATTTTTAAGCCCTTAGGGTTATGCGAGTTAGAGATGATTTATTTTACAGAAGCAGAAAAAAAAAGATAAATCTCTGATAATTCCCTCAAATTGGCAGATGCATTCATAAGCAGCAGTAGACAAAAAATAATTACCGTGTTTAATGCATTATTTTAATTACTGGACTTTTAAGCAGTGCCCTGCTCTCTCTTTTTATCTCTCTCTTCCTCTATCTCTCTTTCCTTAATTTTCTTTTCACCAGATGCCTCCAGGACAAATATACATTTTCTCTTTGCTTAATCTTCGACTTAATGCTCTTTTTATTTCTCTTTTACCGCTTTGGATGCCGATTTTCAGCATAAAAATAAATATGTGCAGTTCAAACTTATCTTTATTATGCTAAGTGATGATGGGGAATTTATCGTTGTTATTTTGTATTATAATTATCCTTCCCTTGACCTACATATATTTACAAATTAGATAATCCAAAGAAAAATGCAATCATTTTTTAAATTTTCTCAGAACTTTATCTCACTTATCTGATAATAATTCATAACTGTAATTCCACCTCTCCTTTTTTTCACAGAGCACCTTCGACAGCAGTTCTTTCCTTCCGACTACATCACATATCCTGTGAATAGACTGACTATTACTGCAACAAGGCATCTAGAGTAATAAAGCAAGTGAATGAAAATAATTAATCCAAGAAACTACAGATTAATGTAAAATGTAGAAAGGCACCTAACCGTCAGATTGCTAG